AGTGGCAGTGCCTTTGCGTTAAAAACGGCGCGGCTTCTATCGGTAGCCAGTAGAGACGATACTCGAGTGCTGATAAGGGGAGCAGGAGCGGAGCAGCAGCTAAGAGATAACCGTTGATACTTGTCACCTCCACCATCCAACTCCAACTCCAACTCCAACGACTTGCACTCTCACTTTGTATCACAATTTCACACAAAAATACTTGTGAATTTCGAACCAGAAGCAGTAGAAATGCTGGCCAAAGTTCCTGCTCCGGCGGCAGTCAACCACCACCACCACCACCTCCTGCGGCCAAAACGCCTTGAACCAGAATCATGGATGGCGGGAACCCACAGCTGCAAGTGTCTCTATCTTCATCAGACGAGAAAATGGGGGATTAGTTGCAGTTTCAGTCAGAGACCCACCGATAACCCTGCAGCTGCAGCAGAAGCTTCTTATGACCTCATGGACGATTTCATCGTCCTTGGACAAGACAACACTGCCCCTCCCACTCCCACCACCAGAAACACTACCACCCATCGAGGTCTTCTCTCTCTCTCTCTCTCTCTCCCTCTCAATTTCAATTTGGGTTTTGCTGCAAATCTCACATACTTGGTTGGTTTTTCCGAAATTATAAAACTTGAGTCTGATTAGACCTGTAGATATGGCATACATAATTTGTCTGCTTCAAACTGCACATATGTTATGTTTATCCAGTTTGGGTGGGAATTGAGCATGTGCCACCATTTACAGGCAATGACCGTCAACCGGCACCTACTAGTAGGAGAGTTGCTCAAAGTTTCGGGAGATTGAAAGTACATAGAGTGAAATCTATAGCTGAGAAACCTTCTCGGATTAAGCAAGAAATAGATGAAAGTGATGATGAAGTAAATGTGCAAGATGCACCACCATTTGTCAATTCGCCTTCAAGACTTGAATTTGATGGGAAAAAGAACAGAGCAGATGCCCGCGGTCTTGGTGGAAGACGCTCAAGTGATTCCCACTCGAAAGAATTTAGGGACATGAGGCGGAGGAAGGGGACAGCAAACAACATGGACCATTCTCCTGTGAAAAGGACGGAAAATGGTTTTGAGCCAATCTCTGACAATCAAAACAAACAACATAAGCCTTATAGGTCTGACACCAACATAGCCAGACAAAAGGATTCAGCTCCAAGAGGTTCTTCTGCTCACTCAAAAGGATGGGGCAATGGAGGAGGGTCCATGTATGACTTGGCTGAGTTGCCCGACCTAAATCAGCGAAGGAAATTTTCCACTGACAATGACTTTTTCAGTCGAAAATCCTTTAGGGATGTGGGTTGCAGTGAATATATGATTGAATGTCTGAAGAGGCAGCTTTTCCAGCGCCCATCGCATATTCAGGTACATCAACATTGCTCCCATATTTAGTTTGCATTATGTGAATAATTTGATTTGGTTGTTTGTTTGAAATGTATCCACTTCAAGAAATGTCTCATATATAATATCCTCTGAAGTATTATATATAATTTTCCACCTTATGGATTTCATTCCACGCTGTTAGAAACATGTTTAATTTGTTGCAGCTTTCATATGTCGCTGTTTGATTCTATTTCATCACCACTTCCTTCCTATCATGTTTAGTTATGTTTGTGTAGTTAGGCTGTTGTCGTCTTATTTCGAAGGGCTGTCTCTTTCCTATTCCCAATACTGATATTGCTTCATTTGCAAAAGTGAGCAAGTTCCATCCTCCTGGAAAATTTTATGCTTAGTCAACCTGTACATGGATATACCTTGAAAAAGTTTCGTATTGGTAACTCATATTTGATGAAGACCTACTTACAATTTTTCAAGTACAGTTTAAACTTGTGTTACACATCTTGTATAACTGCAGGCCATGGCATTTGCTCCTGTTGTTGAGGGGAAAACGTCTATTATAGCAGACCAAAGTGGATCTGGCAAGACATTAGCTTATCTTGCTCCAGTAATTCAGCGTTTAAGGGAAGAAGAACTTCGAGGGCTGAGCAAATCCTCATCACTGAGTCCTCGAGTTGTTATACTGGTACCAACTGCTGAGTTAGCTTCTCAGGTCAGTTGCTGTTGGTTTTAATATTTGTTGTCGTCTTGATCTTTGCTCACGTTGGTTGAACAACAGTTTTCTGAGCATATTAGTTTATTGCCAGCTCTTTGTGTGGCCTGGTTCTCTGAGATTTGCCTACATGCATATGCATGTGTTTGTAGATTAGAATTTTGTAACTTAAAATAACTGCCTGCAGTGCAGAACAGTACAGCACAAGCTCAACCAGAATTTAAAAAAAAAAAAAAAAAAAAAAAAAAAGAGAGAGAACGGAGGAAACAACTAAAAAGGTCGTACCCAGTGCACAAGGCTCCCGCTTTACGCAGATTGTACATATAAAAGAATATAATGGATATTTAGTCTTATTTCTCCCACTTTATGGTATATCAGCCTGTGACAATGCAAGTGTAACTCATGCAGGTTTTGGGTGTTTGCCGTTCAATGTCAAAATTTGGGGTTCCAGTTAGGTCTATGGTTGTAACTGGTGGTCATCGGCAGAAAACTCAGATGGAAAGTTTAGAACAAGGTGTGGATATCCTAATAGCAACACCTGGTCGGTTTATGTATCTGATTAAAGAGGGCTTCGTGCACCTATCAAATCTAAGATGGTAACCCAGTATTCCTTCAACTTCGTTTAACTTTTCTATTTAAGTATATCTCTGGGTTGATAAAACTAAAGCTCCTTTGTAATTTGAATTTCATTGGTGCATATTGTTATACCCTGATATGATTCCTTCACCTTGATGAGTAAATTCACTCAGTTATCCAGAATTAATCTAGATGAAGTTTACATAATAGATTAGGAGTTCTTGGTGATGCTTGGTGATAATATATTAGAACCTCTATGCTGCAGCGCTGTACTAGATGAGGTAGATATACTCTTTAATGATGAGGATTTTGAAGCAGCACTGGAAAGTTTGATCAATTCTGCACCTGTTACCACACAATATCTTTTTGTGACTGCAACGTTACCCCTTGGAATTTACAACAAATTGGTTGAATCCTTTCCTGATTGTAAAGTAGTCATGGCACCTGGAATGCACCGTATAAGCTCTGGCCTTGAAGAGGTTAGTATAGTTATCCTGTTGCGTATACAATGGTTTTCGAATTTAGTCCTGGTAATGAGGTGAGTATGAAGGTTCTTATTTTATGGTTTACGCAGTTTCATAACATGTCAAGAACAAATTATCACCTTCAATTGTTGGAGAAAAAGGGTGTTCTTATTGTTGATGCATTATTAGTTTTACTTTTGTTCAAATTTTCTCCTAGCTTCCGATCAAATTTCATTTTATTAGAACTGAAGAGCTGTACGTAACTCCAAAATGACGGATTTTGATAATCATGATTCATGTCCAGGTGCTTGTAGATTGCAGTGGAGATGATGGAGGTGAAAGATCTCCAGAGAAGGCATTCTCAAATAAGAAATCTGCTCTTCTACAGCTTGTGGAGGGAAGTCCAGTTCCCAAATCGATAATTTTCTGCAACAAGGTAACGTGAAACATTTTCCCTTTTGAGTGGCTTGCCATGTACCTGGGATTGTGTGTATTTACAAGCCTTTCTGATTCTATGTATATGGAACTAAATTTCTTCTCAGGTCACTTAAAGAAAGTATTACTCAAGTTAGCTTTTCCTTGCCTGTTTGCAGATTGAAACGTGCAGAAAAGTTGAGAATATATTAACACGTTTTGACAGAAGTGGAACTCGCGTTCGGGTTCTACCATTCCACTCTGCCTTGGCCCAAGGATCAAGACTCGCAAATATGGAGGAGTTCACCAATTCTCATTCAAAGGAAGTCTCACAGTTTTTGGTTTGCACTGATAGGTAGCAATTTCCGTTGCCTTCTGTATCATTTCCTGTACTGAACTTTGCTTGCATAATAAGTATAGACCGGATCATTATTGGTTCCGTAAAAACGAGTCATATAGCATACAGCAAGTTGACGTTTATGAAATATTTGACAGAGCATCGCGTGGAATCGACTTTTCTGGCGTGGATCATGTTATCCTCTTTGACTTCCCCCGCGATCCAAGTGAGTATGTACGACGTGTTGGAAGAACTGCCCGAGGTGCTGGAGGAATCGGAAAGGCGTTCATCTTTGTGGTGGGGAAACAAGTCTCCCTTGCGGGAAAGATAATGGAAAGAAACCGGAAAGGTCACCCGGTGCATGATGTACCAGCTGCATATGAGCTTTTGTATTAAAAGGCTTTTATGCCTGCTTGTAAAAGAAGCATCACCACCAATTTTCCTGACATACGCTTGGCTTTCAGAAAACATGTGCAATATGCTTTTCATATAAGCCAATTTTTTTAATGATTTAATCAGTATTATCGTCGTGTTAACTAACAAGTTAATACATTTCAACCGTGTAAACATTGGTCGTGCGAGTTACACAACTCAGGTTGTGTAACGTGTCATGTTTGAAATTGTTTGTTTGTTTTGGGCGAAAAAAATCCAAGATGAAGAATAAAAATTTGAAATCGCACTTTCACCGAACGTTTTAGTTTGTTTTATTAGCACCCCATATTTTCTACACACACCTCACACTTTTCACATCTTAGGTGCAAATATGTATTTTGTGTTTTTATCTTTACGCCCTACACTCTTCTCATATTCGAATTATGAGGTGGTTTTTATGTTGTTTCTCCTTTCAAATAACGAAGATTTAGATTTGAGAATCCACGTTGAAAAAAAAAAAAGATTCCTTCACTCTGTAGCATAAAGTGATCTAGAAATGCATAGCATAATTGATTATGCATTAACTTCATAACGTAACTGCAGGCATGCCAATATTGTTGAGATCACTAACAATAAAAAATATAACGTCGATTTCATGTTATATTCAACAAAAATAATTTTTTTCAATCAAGGTAATGAAAAAATGAAACAAAACCCATGGGCTTTGGGGGAAAAAATGGGTTAAAAAGAAGGAATAACAGAGTGGATAAATGGTGAGTAGTGTTCTGGGTGGGGGATGGATAAGGTGCCAAATTGCAGAATTGGGTTTTAGAAATACACAGGGAGAGAGACACACACTAAGAGACGAAGATAGATAGATAGATAGATAGAGAGAGAAAGAGAGATACAGTACAATGTCAGCTTCGCTTTCGTTCCTAGCGTCTTCTCAGCAGCTATGGCTGCGTCCTCAGCTCGTGGGAGTGGCGGCGACTCCGTCTCCAAGGCCTCAGTCTCGGTCTCTTGTCGTGGAAGCCAAAGCCACCACCAAAAGAGAAGACAGGACCGCCCGCCATACCCGTATCAGAAAGACGGTACCTTTCCCAACTTCTTCTTCTCTCCAATTTCTGCAATTTGATTTCTTCTCTTCCAACCCACATAATTCAAGATAAAATTTTACGGCGAATTGTTGTCCCTTTGGATTGTATCTTCTTAACTGTCCCTTATCGTCTTCCCTCCCAAGTTCCCAACCCAGAAACTCTTGCTTGTCAGTTTCTGAGTAGTGGGTGTCCAGAACATGAAAATGGGTGCCTTCAATTTCATATGCCAGAAACTCCTCGTGAATTGACATCACATGAATTGGGTTAGCTTGTTCTAGTTTCCAATTACAGAGTTTCCGGTTGAATGTAGCAGATTAAACATAGATTAGCTTAACTGATAGGATCTTGGTTCGAAAAACTCGAATGCTTGTAGCAAAGACAAGGTTCCCATGAGTGGTGCCTCCCAATATTCTCCACAGGCTTTGCTACTATGTTCATTCGGAAAGTTTAATGTATTGCCTTTTTGTTGACAGTTCTTACCTAAAGTTAAATTTTGAAGCTTTGATTGTCTTCTTATCAGTATCATGATGCACTCTCGAATCCTCGACTTTACCCTTGCAAATGAACTTATGTGGAATATTTTCCCTTGATTCTATTAGTTTCTTCTCTAATGGATCATTTTGCGAAAATTTGGTTGATTTGCCTCTTCTGATTGTGGATGGCGCATCTGTTTGTTTTTCAGGTTGAAGGGACTCCCGAAAGGCCCAGGCTGGCTGTCTTCCGCTCCCACAAGCATCTCTATGTCCAAGTGATTGATGATAGCAAGATGCACACACTTGCTTCGGCTTCAACAATGCAGAAACCCATCTCTGAAGAATTTGACTACACTTCTGGTCCTACCATTGTGAGTTAACACATATCAGTTGAACAGAAAGTTCGATATTGTTCCTAGGCTATGCGGTTCTTTAGTCTGAAAACTTTATTGCAGATGTACATCTCTGTGATGGAATTCATCAATAGATAGCCATATTTTCTGAAAACTTTCCATTACCTTTATTTTCTGAACCGTACTTCTCGGTTAAACTTTTAACATATCATCAAATGACTAGCTCCTTATACCTGTTGTCTTTTATTGTTTGACTTTAAGATACGTTAATTCCAATTCGATGATTTATCATAAATGATGTAGTAATAAACTCAACAGCTGGAAAAAAAAGTCTTGTAGTTCAGCTTAGGTTTTGATCGTTCGTTTATGATTTGGTATTATGTCAATTCTATTTGATAAAACTTGTTGCCTAGCTTTGATGTTTGTTAAACAAAATTCCTGATCTATTCAAGCTATGTGGCATCAGGAAGTAGCAAAGAAGGTAGGAGAAGTGATCGCAAAGTCATGTTTGGAGAAAGGGATCTCAAAGGTGGCCTTTGACCGTGGTGGATACCCATATCACGGACGTGTGCAAGCCCTTGCTGATGCAGCCAGGGAACACGGCCTTCAGTTCTAAGATCACGAAATACTTCAATCCTATTTTGGACCGTCGTACCCCTTTTGTAGTTTCTGTAAAAGATTTGGATGGAAGGATGTATCAATGTGTAAGCAGAGTTGCTGTTTCCTAGTTAATTGAACATTTGACATTGAGACGCTGTCAATTTTCTTTCCAATTCAGTTTGTATCCCTGAAAATTATACGCATCGGAGATGAAATTCTTATATGTGGTGATTAGTTTATATCTTGATAATTGACTCATTAGGGCATTGCATTCAAACTTGAGATTTGTTCGGTCATTTGAGATCGGAGTTGAAACAAATTCAGGTTGAATATTAACCACATGTCCGAGGGGACGGAGGAATCAGCAGGCACTTCCTCACTCCCAAGCAAAGAAAGCGTTCAATTTGTTGTCATTTGCTATAATTAGTATGTTGGTTTTATTTGTATCACTTTTCTCTCCCCTTTGCTGTGCTAGCTTCTTCTGTTCACTCTCCGGAGTCTGTTTCGAATCGAACCAAATTAAGTTACACACATGCAGAGATCAACCGCCGGAGATCCTCATATAAGTCGTCCAGCGTCCAGCATCTAGCGTCCTGAGATTATCTTCATCATGTCAAAAGAAAAGAAATTTTGAGTTGGTTCATTTCTTCATCAATTGATTTCTACTCACTGGAATGTTGGTGCGGCCGGCAGATCCGTTGTGTGTGTGGTGATCTCTTAAATCTCTGACCAATTCAATCGATCTGAAGATGGCTCCGCCACCACCGCTGGTTGCCCCCATGAAGGCAACATCCAATGGATCGTTTCAAGGCGAAAATCCCCTAGATTTTGCTATTCCCTTACTCATCCTCCAGATTGTCTTGGTCGTTGTTTTCACCAGAACACTTGCATTCCTTCTTAAACCTCTGCGGCAACCTCGAGTTATAGCCGAAGTCATTGTAAGTTCTTTCGTTAACCTGATCAATGATTCAAATTCACGATTTAGCAACATAATCATGTTGCGTTTCAGATTGTCTGGTAAGAGAACATTCTTTGTTTTGCTTTTGTAACCCAATATATTTATCATTCATGCATGCACGCACATATAATTCTAGGGAGGGATATTGCTTGGGCCGTCGGCATTTGGGAGAAGCCAGAAGTTTCTACACACAGTTTTCCCGGCAAAAGCCATGACTGTACTGGACACAGTGGCAAACATCGGACTCCTCTTCTTCTTGTTCCTTGTCGGCCTCGAACTCGACATCCGCGCCATTCGCCGCACCGGCAAGAAATCCCTAGGCATCGCCGTCGCAGGAATCACCCTCCCTTTCGTTCTCGGCGTCTTCACCTCCTTCGCACTCCGCGCCACCGTCTCCAAAGGAGTCAGCCAAGGCCCCTTCCTCGTCTTCATCGGCGTCGCCCTCTCCATCACCGCCTTTCCCGTCCTCGCCCGCATCCTCGCCGAGCTCAAGCTCCTCACCACTGACGTCGGCCGCATCGCCATGTCGGCCGCCGCAGTGAACGACGTCGCCGCCTGGATCCTCCTCGCCCTGGCCATCGCCCTTACCGGAACCAATACCTCCCCGCTCGTCTCCGTGTGGGTCCTACTATCCGGGGCCGGCTTCGTTGGCTTCTGCGTCATTGCCCTAAGACCCCTCCTAGCCATGATGGCGAGGCGGTCCCCCGATGGGGAGCCGGTGAAGGAGCTCTACATATGCATCACGTTGTCCCTCGTCCTGTCGGCGAGTTTCGTGACGGACGTAATTGGGATACACGCGCTGTTCGGCGCGTTCGTGGTTGGGATAATAGTCCCGAAGGAGGGGCCGTTCGCCGGGGTGCTGATAGAGAAGCTAGAGGATCTGGTGTCGGGGCTTTTCCTGCCGCTATATTTCGTGTCGAGTGGGTTGAAGACCAACGTGGCCACCATCAGCGGCGGGCAGTCGTGGGCGCTGCTGCTGCTGGTTATATTCACGGCGTCTTTCGGGAAGATTGTGGGGACAGTGACGGTGTCGATGGCGTGTAAGGTGCCGTTCAGGGAGGCGTTGGCACTTGGGTTTCTGATGAACACCAAGGGACTGGTGGAGCTCATTGTCCTCAATATTGGAAAGGATAGAAAGGTTAGTAGTTATAATTTCTTGTCACCTCCATATATCACTCTAAATTCTTCTCAAAAGAATTAAATTTGGTTTAATTTTACACATTCACCTCTAATACGATTCTAATATGAGTATTGCTACACACACCAAATTTTGTATCAGTTTGCTATTTAATTATGTTAATCTTATTTTAATTTTTTTTAATTTTTAATAATTAAGATTCTGATATGTGTACAAATACATTAGTTCCGTTGAATAAAATTAAAAGAAAAAACCTTAATGATTCTTGGATTCCTAGTATATATAGAGAAAAATTGGTAATTAAAAGAGAGTTCATGCATTGAAAATTATTTAGCGTCTACTTAGTCATGGTAAGAAAATTTTATGTAGCCAACTATGAAATTAGGTCTTCATAAATGTTCACTTATGTGGGTGGGTAAAATGTCATACACATAGCATTACGGTTGCTAATTATTTGGTGGAAAGTCAATTTAGATCTAGTCAACTTACAACTTTTATGGGTGGGAAATCAATTTTACATTGACAGTTGTATAATATTGTTAGTTCATATTGTGGCAGTGATTGGGTAAGGTTCTAAAAGGCGCTAGATGATAGTGGTGGGCATGAATCTAGTCTTAGTGTTTAGACCGGGCCTAGGCTCTTTTTTTTTTAATTTAATTAAATTTATTATATAACACACAAAGAAATTTTCACCTATACCTAAAAAAATATATATAATTGTAGTGGAATATTAGATCATATTGACAGCTTGAAGAACAAGCATAATAAATGTTTATTTAAGTATTCAATAGGTCTTTTATTAGTGAAAAAAAATTCAAAATGAATGTCTAAGTGAGAGTCGCAACTTAGGTGAGTCTAGGCAGGCTAGGCGACGTTCAGGTAGGTCTAGACATCATTTCTTAATTTCTAAATGTCTAAAAATTAATCGAAACGGTGACTAACTCTTTAACGTTTAAACGGAGCTTAAGCGAATATTTTTAGAATAGTGATGAATCAGTAATGTCACACACAAACCTTGACTTCTCTCAACATATGGTTAGTTGTTATTAGATTATTACACAATTTTAATTTACAGTCTAATTTATGTGTCACCACTATACGCATGGCAGGTGCTGAACGACCAAACCTTCGCCATCTTCGTCCTAATGGCGTTATTCACCACCTTCATCACCACCCCACTAGTAATGGCAGTCTACAAGCCAGCACGCCGAGGCGCCCCCTACAAGCACCGCAGCGTCTTCCGCAAGAACCCCGACACGGAGCTCCGAATGCTGGCTTGCTTCCACAGCACCCGCAACATCCCCACCGTGATCAACCTCATCGAGTCCTCCCGCGGAACCCGCAAGCGCGGCCGCCTCACCGTCTACGCCATGCATCTCATGGAGCTATCAGAGCGCTCCTCCGCCATCTCCATGGTCCACAAGGCCCGCAACAACGGCCTCCCTTTCTGGAACAAAAAAAACGACGAAAACAACAAGGACCAAATGGTCATTGCATTCGAGGCCTACGAACAGCTCAGCTCCGTCAAGGTCCGCCCCATGACCGCCATCTCCTCCCTCGACAACATCCATGAGGACATCTGCGCCAGCGCCCACCAAAAGAATGCCGCCGTGATTTTACTCCGGTTTCACAAACACCAGAGGCTCGACGGCAACATGGAGTCTCTAGGAAACGCGTTTAGATCGGTCAACGAGCGTGTGCTTAAACACGCTCCCTGCTCCGTTGGGATTTTGGTGGACAGGGGTCTTGGCGGAACAGCCCAGGTTTCGGCCAGCGAGGTGTCGTATAATATTATGGTGGCGTTTTTCGGAGGGCGGGACGACAGGGAGGCGTTGGCGTACGGAATGAGGCTGGCAGAGCATCCCGGTATTGTGATGACATTGATTCGGTTTGTGGCCCCACAAGGAAAGACGTTGAGTTTTGGCGCGAAATTGGTCGGGATAACTTCTGACAAGAACAAGGAGATTTTGAAAGAGGAAGACTGCGGCGGCGACCAGAAGGAGGACGACGAGTCGCTTTTGGCGGAGTACATGAATGTGATGAAGAATAGTGGGAATAAGGAGGGCGGCGGGGAGCCGTCGATGCTGTACGAGGAGAAGGTGGTGGACAGCAAGGCGGAGATTTGTGTCGTGTTGAAATCGATGGCTAAAAATGTCAATTTGTTTATTGTGGGGAGAATGCCTCCGACGGCGCCGTTGGTGGACAGTTCGAGTGACTGCGCGGAGTTGGGGCCGGTGGGAAGCTTCTTGGCGTCCTCAGACTTTTCGTCCACAGCGTCGGTTGTGGTGTTTCAACAGTATAATCCCACGTCGTCGCAGCCGCTTGTGGTGGAGGAAGCTGACTATGAGGTGCCGGATACACCAATGGCTTGATCGTTTGCTTCGAATTGTGCGAGAGATGAATAATTAATTGAGTAATCCATCTATAAAGCAGGAATAAGAACCGTATTAACCTTTCCAATCCTTGATTATATATTCAATTAGGAAACGATCTATATTCTATAGTCAAAGTTTAATTACTTGTATTTCTGTTGTACCCGATTTTACATTTTCGGATTAAGGATTGTCAGATGATTATGAAGAATTCTAGACATTGGAATGTGATCAACTTTGTACCCAATTAGGCATTATTGGCTTGTTTCTAATATTTTTCTGAATATTAGTATTGGATTATTGTAGTAGTTATCTTATGAAAATATTAAAAATGAGCTTGAAGAGTGCATATTGAAATCAAGGACTTTTCTTCCTCCACGAGTCTGTTCGGGATTCTCGTATTGGAGTTTTGTAGTGTATTCCAATAATTCAAGCACGGACAAGGTCAAACAACATGGGCAGATATGGAAGAATCATAGCCACCAAGTATCTTGGCAGGATTTCAAGTATTTTAATTAAATGGGATTAATGAAATTGCATACATTATCACATCCAGGAAAAGGTTGGATTGCATACAAGATGTGGAGATAAAGTGGAACTGCATTGGAACACGTGGATTTTGAACGATGGTGATGACGCAATTAGGATTGAATCTTTGAAAAAGATTGTACAGAATGTCAGGATGGAAAAGATGGGATCAAGCTTTTATTGATGTGATAAGGTGTGGACTTATGTGCATATGAGAAAAAGTTTTCATAACTTCATTTATTATTGTAATTATGCATGGGATAAGTGCGTGGTCAGCAGTAACAAATAAAGACTCAGAGTCACATTGCAATTGGGATTAGTTTTTACGACTTGAGCAGGTCTGTATAAATACCAAGTGGCAAACGACTAAGAGGGCCCCTCCCAAATCAAAACACAAATTACCCTGCGTAAAGCTTCTCAACAACCCTAAGGTTTTATCCTCTTCCCCTTTCTTCCCGCCAACACATCTTCAGTTTAGATAAACAGTATTATGAAAGAAACCAGAGACATCTTCAATTTGGATAAACAGTACTGGAGCCGTAGAATCAGTCGACTTCTTCAGTTTGGATAAACAACACTAGAGCCGTAGAATCAGCCGATCGATAAACACCTTCAGTTTGGATAAATAGCACTGCTTCGAGATTGACTGGTTATTTATCCAAGTCTCAATCAACAAGGATTTCTGAGTCCTTGTTGGTAGAGATCATCCCATCATCATTCTCGGCAAAGTGAGGTGTTACCAAGTTACTACATTCGGCACATTGAAAGCCGAATTTGAAATTGAACTTCGCA